CAGCAGGATGATGGAGCGCTCTGACTTGATGAACCTGGCGGGGTGGAGAGCAGAGAGAGGCAGGTTTAACGTCCCTGTGCCTGGGGCTTGGCTTATTTTCTCCCTAGCCTGGGGGGCAAGAGCCCTCATGATTCAAGGGACCAACGGCCTCAGCAGGCTGGTAGCCTGTCCCCAACAGTAGGCGATGGGGGAGACCGAAGAGGGCAGCCCAGCCCTCAGATACCATGGGCATGGGTGAGCCGGCAGGTGAGAAGCTGCTTCCTCAGCCCAGCCTGGGGAGGGGGGTTTCTGCTTGTGACTTGGATTAAGGCTTCTGGCCCCCCTAGGCAGGATGTTTGGGGCACAGAGACCACTCTGCCCTAAGGCAGGGATGCAGCCATTTCAGAATTGGAGCCCTTCCTCCTTCGTTAGCCCGTGCTTGTGGGACCAGGACAGAGAAGCACGGCAAGCAGGTCTCTGCACCAGGAGAGCGATGCACCCCTGCCCTGCCCTCATCCGGGGTCTCAGGCTGCCTTCCATCAGACCCCTCTGCATGTGTTTATCCCTGCAGGACACACTGCAGGTGACAGAGGCTGGAGGTGACAGAACCCGCTAGGATGGATGGAGCTTTGCAAAGCTGCCCGAAGGATTTAGGCACATGGATCCCATTGCAATCACTCGCTTGTACAGCTCCTGGTGCAACCAGGCTGTGAGCCCTGCCGGGGTTCCCAGGCACTACTGTAGCATGGATCAAGCATTGCCTGAATCTCTCTGGGGGAAAGGGAAGTGGACATCTGCCCCCATCTCTCCACACCTCCAGCCCCGAGGACCTCATAGCTGGCACAAACTCAGGCATGTGGCATGGACACGGGGCCTGGCTCTGTCACACGTGCCAGTGTAAATGCAGAGTAGCCTTGATGAACTTCCCAGGCTGATGTGAGTGGAGCCAGCATCAAGCTCGGTGGGGCCTTCCTGTCCGCACCACGTGCCTGTGGCCACGCCAGCCGGGTGCTGCTGTGCCCACAGCCACCTTTAACGCGATAAGACCTTTATCCCCTTCCTGGAACAGCTCCGCATAATCACACCGCGGCTAAGCCTCCCCTGCCCCCTTCCTACCCACCAGCTGTTTTCTCCCCCCTGCCAGTGCCTGGCATGTATTTTGTCCTGTTCTGCTGTCTGGATCTCCCTGCTGCCCTCCTCTCTCCCACCCTGCTGCCTCTCCCGGCTGCCCGTTTCTGGGCTGGCTCCATTTCTGCTTGGGGTGCAAAGTGTGGGGGTACCCCCGTTTACAGGGCATTGGTGCTGCAGCCCACAACTGCCCACATCCTCCTTCACATAGCCACTTCTATTTCCCCTAGGCTGGCACAGGCCCCAAAGCACCCTCCAGGGGCAGTGACCTCTGCCAAGGCTTAGCCACCACGTCTACAGCTGGCACTTCCTAACACACCCCCGAGAGCCGGGCACCCACACAAGCAGACGGCCTGATCTCATGCTCGGGGGGTGGCACCGGGGCCTGACACTTTGGGGTTCATCACAGAAGGCCTCTTGCAGCTGCAAATCTTGGCTCAAGCTCCAAGATGGCCACGTCCCAGCTGCTACTAGCCTGGCTGGCTTCTCCTGGGTTCCCGGGGGTCAGCATGGGGGAGTTACCCCTGGGCAACTGGGGTGGGTACGAGGGAGCACGGGTCCCCGGCAGGGTCAACCTACCTCCAGAAGGCTGCGTAGATCACCAGCAGTGTCAGCAAGGCCATGCAAGAGACGGCGCAGCCTATCATAAGTGGCACGGAGGGGATGCCCGAGGGGTCCATGGCCTGATGGGGAGAGAGAGAGATGCTCTGGAGATGTCTGGAGAGGATCCCAGAAAGGAAGAGCTGAGGGATGGAGGCTGCCGTTGCAAGGGGGGCACAGCTGGCCTGGAGGGGCGTAGGGCAGAGAGAAGCTGGGGGCTGCCCCGGGTGATATCGCCAGGACCTGGCCACCCAAGGCCATAAAGCTGGACACCGCTGGGGAGGCCCCGGGGAAGGCAAGAGGGGCAGAGCCCACCACCCCTCAGCACCAGGCCTGGTGCCCCCTCCCAGGGCCCATCGCTCTCCCGGGCTCCGTGACGGCCCCTGGCTGCCGAGGTGCGTTCCCGGGGGCGCCTCTCCATCTCCCTGCCAACCGGAGACGCTCCCAGAATATCAATCGCCAGACCCGGCTGCCGGGATCCGGGTACACTCCAGCGTGGGACATGGAGGGGGCAGGGCAGCCCTGTCTGTCTGTCCCTGTGTCTGTCTGCGAGCGTGCCGGAGCGACAGGAGCAGAGCAGAGGAGACAGCAGGACACCCGGGCACATGCCAAGATGGCTCCTCTTGCTCTGCCCCCCGCCAAATGCACATATATTAATGCCTGGAAGGCCTGTTAATTGAGCCTTATAAATCCCAGGCAGGCGTCCTGTGCTGCAGAGCACATCTCTCCATTATATACTGCAGCACGAGGGGGGCGGGGGTGACTCAGGCAGAGGAGCAAGGAGAGAGGAGTCCGGGGGAGGAAGGTGTGGGCTGGCTCCCCAGTTGCTGCTCCCCCCCTGCTGCATGGTCTCCAATGGGGTCTGTGCACTGGGGGGGGGGCTGTGCTTTGCATGATGGGAACAGGGCTTATGCCCCCACTTCACCATATGCCACTGAGGCATCAGGGGCGTCCCCCATGCCCTCAGCCCTCAGCCCTCCTGGGCTCGGGGATGCCAACATGCATCCTCCCCCGGCCTTACAGCTGCCAGGAGAGGGACAAGCCAAGACCCATCGCCCTGTACCCCTGCCCACGGGGGCAGCAGCAGGTGATCCCTGCCCAGTGGGGGCAGCGGGAAGGGGGCGGTGGGTGAGGGGGATGCTGCTCTCCTATTCAGCTTCTCCTCGGGCTCCTGGCAACCAGACGCCAGCAATGTGGGGGGGACGCGGGTGGGCGTGCACAGAGGGGGAGGCGGAGGGAGTGGGAAGAGCTGAGCAGAGTCAGGCAGCGAGGGAGGCAACGAGGGCTGGGCGAGGAGCGGGGGGCTGGAGCAGCTGGGCTGGGGGGCATGGTACAGGGAAGAGAGCAGAAGGGAGAAGGAAAGCATGGACAGGAGGGCAGATCCCCCCCTCTCCAGAGGCCTTGGCCCCATCTTCACACCCAGCACCGGGACCGATGCCCTAGCCAGACCGCTGGGGAAGGCCGCCTGCGTGTGTGCATGCACGTGCATGTGTAGAGCTTGCATGCAGCTCAGACACACTCTCCCAGCACCACTGGACTGCTCTGTGTGTGTGTGTGTGTGTGTGTGCGCACGTGCATGCATGTGGGGATTACTGGTACCCAAGCCCACAGGCCAGTGCCCTACTGGGTCCCTTTCCCCCATGCCCACCTGGCACCACAGAAATATCCCCCATGCGACTTCAAATCACTCCCTCCCCTGCTTTATGGGGGCAGACCTGCCCCCCCACCTGTCATGCAAGCCACCAGTGGTCCCCCCATTATCCCCCAGTCCCATCCCTCCCCTCTCCATCCCTCGCCTGCCTCGGGGTGCAGGAGAGCAGAGGCCGAGAGCCACGAGCGAGCGAGCAGGGGGCACGGAGCTGCTGGCACTCACCGGGTCCTTGGGCAGCTGGGCGAGCACAGCGTAGGTGGACAGCTGGCTGCACTGGCATTTGGTGTGAGCCGGGAGGGTCTCGAGCGTTTGGCAGCTCTCCGTGTCCCAGTTCCCAGCGCCAGCATCCCTGATGAATGGAAGAGGAAGGCGAGAGAGAGCGCAATGATCAAACATACATACACACACACACACACACACACACACACACACACACACACACAACCCACAGCCCCTCGGCTCCGGTGCCGGCTTAACCCTTTGCTGGCGCCGCCCGCCCGCCAGGAGGGGAGCTCTGCCTTCGGCTCTGGCCCTTGCTGGGGAGGCTGACCCAGTTGCTGGCGCAAAATCCATCCTGGGCTTCCCCCAGCCTGGGCTGCGGGGGCTTCCGGCTCTGCCGTCTCCTCCCTGATCTCCCAGGGGGCTAAGTGCTTGGTTTCATTTGAAGGCTCAGGTTGCCAGCTGGGGTTAGGGGGTGCTGAGTTCCAGCTAGGAGGGGAGTGGAGACCCTGCACCCCTGCCAGGCCCTGCTCTGCCCAGCTCAGGGACGTACAGGGCAAGCGTGAGCATCAGGGGCCTGAAGGTACTAAGGAAAGCAGGGGAAGAAGCAGGTGCCCAGGGGTGCCCGGGCTCCCCTGCAACCAGCCAACTGCACTTCTAGCATCAAGCCATCCCCTTCCAGCAGGTGCTTCTGACCTCTCCAGCTAGTGCCCTCCTTGCCCCGCAGAGGCGCTGGGGGCAGCTGCCCAGCCATCACCCCCTCCATCCCCGCTGCAGCCTGAGCTGTGCCTGCTGCCCACGTGGCTGGCACCACACTCTGGGGGGCAGGGAGAGAAGGAGCATCCCAGGGCAGTCACGAGCCCCATGCTCCCAAGTACAGGTACAGGGGTGGTGGGGGCTGTCCCATGCTGAGCCCGCTGCAGGCGGTGTGGGAAGGCCCTCCCCTGGGCAACAGGGAGAATCAGCTTCCCTTGTGTCTGGGTCTCCAAGTTGACCTGGGCACCTAATGCCCACCCCGTGAAGGCTGTCAGCCCTTCTGGGTGGCATCAGTGCTACCATGCACAAGGGTTGACACTAGTTTCCAAATGCACCATCTTCCCCACATGCTCAGCCATCACCCGGTGGCCTCCAGAGACCTGGCACCCACACAAACACACACTGCCAGAGCGTGTTCCTCCCAGCTCAAGCGGGACAGCTGCTGTGCCTCATGCCACACAGCCAGGCAATAAAATCAACTTTAAAAATCCTGGCTGCCAAAGGGGCCCTGCAGGGATGAAGTCCGAACGGCCCTGCCACAGCACCCCCATCGCCGAGGCCACGTGGGGCAGACCAAGCAGGGCCATTCGGACTTCAGCAGCACTGTGAGGGGGCCCTAATGCCCTGGGTCCATGCAAGGTAGGGGCTGTGGAAGTGGGGTGGGCATTACAGACCTGCCAAGCCACCTCTCTCGACTGTCCCCAGTCTCTGCCCAGCAGAGCTGCATTGGCACCAGCCTGCTATGGTCCTGCCATGCTCTCCGTGAGCTTGTGCCACCCTCCGGCAGCCCCCAGCCCCCTCTATGGAGACAAGGGGGGGCCCAGCCACTGCGGGTGGTGGGTGAGTGGGGAGGAGCATCAGCCACAGATGCCGCGGCATGCCAAGGCCGACAGCGGTACATCCCCTGGTTGCTCTGGCAACCCGGAGGAAGGCAGCAGGGAGGGGAGGCCACGCTGGGAGCAAACACTAAGGCCTCCAGGCTGGCAAATGGGTGCAACAGGGGCAACCCCATCCCCACCCCGCATGGTCTAGCCCTGGTCATAGTCACCCCCTCCCCAAGGACTCCGCTCGCCCACGCCATGGCCTTCTGTCCTATGTCTCCACTGTCCCTGCCCAGCGCCGCGCTAATGAATTGTGTCTGGCAGGATGGAGGCATCAATCTCTGGCTGCAAGCGGAGACCAATCAATCCCTGTATTAGCCAAATTAACCCACGGCTGCAGAGGGGGTCGACTGCGGCACAGGCTGCTGTTGCGGAAATAGGGCCACATCCTTCGCTGCGGGAGAACGAGGGGGGTCTGCCTAGGACAGGGGAGCTCTCGACACCCAGGAGCAGCCCATGCTGCACAGCCACAGATCTCTCTACCCCACCCTCCTCTCGCCCTGTGCCCACTGCCCCCCAACACATGCTGTGCCCACCCCCAAGTCCCTAATGAGACATTGGAGCACCGCCCTGGCACCCTAAAAGTCTCTGCTCTTCCCATATGCCCCCCAATCCACCCACCTCTCAGCATGGGGTGCAGCACCCAGGATGGCCGTGCCCAGAAAGGGTGGGACAGAGGGGAGGCTGAGTGGCAGGCCCCCCCCTGTCCATACCCATCGCCCATCAATAGCCAGCCCTGCTGCCATTGCCAGGAGGGGAGGCACCTGGGTCACGGCCCCGGACTGTGCCTGTATCCCTTGCTGTGTGGCAGGAAGATAGTTCCTGGCACCAGGTCAGACACCCCCCCAGAGCACCCAGACACCAGCTTGGAGCAGGCTGCGATGCAGTTACCTGCCCTGCAAAGGTGCCAAAGCCCAGGCCCCAGCAACAGGCCATGTCCATACCCATCGCCCATCAATAGCCAGCCCTGCTGCCATTGCCAGGAGGGGAGGCACCTGGGTCACGGCCCCGGACTGTGCCTGTATCCCTTGCTGTGTGGCAGGAAGATAGTTCCTGGCACCAGGTCAGACACCCCCCCAGAGCACCCAGACACCAGCTTGGAGCAGGCTGCGATGCAGTTACCTGCCCTGCAAAGGTGCCAAAGCCCAGGCCCCAGCAACAGGCCCGGGCACCGGCACCTGCCAGGGTTCGGGACCAGATGGGGAAGCAAGGGGCTGGCAGACTGTGAGGGTGCCCCCGACAAAGCCCAGGCGGGGCTGGAGCACAGCCCGCCCAAGGGGCCAAGGAACAGCTTGCTCCACTGTGCTCCGATGGACACGGGTCTGTGAAGGCTGGCAGGCTCCAAGGGGCGGGGAGGGGGTGAAGGCAGGGTCTGGGGTACACTACCTCATTTCAGTTCACCTCATGCTGTCCTTCCCTGCAGACCTACCCCCAGCCTCCATTCCTAAATGGCCCCCGCAGCCCCTCCTCTCCTGCCCTGGGGCAATGGCAGGCTGCAAGCTGTACTCACATTTTGGAGTAGTCCCAGGTGACGCATTGCGGGTGCGAGGTGCCCTGCAGGCAGGGAGAGCTGGTGAGCAGAGAGCAGAGGCCCCAGGGCAGGGCTGTCCCACCCCCCGCACCCATGGGGAGGGTCCGGCTGCAGCCCTGCTTTCGGGCTCTACCGGCTCCGGCTGGGGGGAGGCAATGGGGAGACAATCTGTGACCTGAGCACGGCCTGTAGCTACTACCGTGTTGGGGGCACCCCTGCCCTGGGGGGGGTACAGGGAGGCTGGGGCATCTACTGCCACACTGGGGACCCCTGGCACTGAAGCCTCCCTTGCACCAAACCAAGCTAGAGCCACTCATACCATGCCCCGAGCTCCAAGCAATCTCCTGGGCACTGCCAAGGGGCTGGCAAGGGAGAGCAAGGAGGGCTACAGCTCAGAAGCAGCGAGCATCAGTCGAGCTGTGCAGGTTGAGGGGAAAGGTGGCTGTGGGGGGTGATCAGGGGGCACTGGAGGAGGACCCCAGTGTGGGAAAGGGCTGTGGACTGGGATGGAGGAGGCGCAGGCGTGAGGGGCAAGGGAAGCCCTCCGGCCCCTGCCAGGGCGAAGACGCCAGCATCCCTCACCCGCTCCTAGCACAGCACTTACATTGATCACGTGGGACAGCTCCACCATGACATGGGGCTCCGTGGGCTTGGGTGGCGGGCGCACCGTCACCGTGAGCACTTTGGATGTTACGGCCAGGGGGGACCTGCAGAGAGGAGGGTGCTGGCTGGGACACGGCATGGGTGGCACAGAGGCCATTTGGACATCCACAGCGCCAGTGCCCTGCCCCTGTGCCTGGGACTCTGGCACAGGCCTGGTTGCTGCTCTCCAGCAACACAGGATCACAAGTGTCCTGGCTCTGCACGTAAGCCCAGCTCTGGTACAAACACTGGTGTGCACGCATGCAAATCTGCTCAGCTTGGCTAGTGCTGGGCTATTGGGTGTACGTGTACACGGAGAAGAACACGCACCTCTTGGCCCAAGATCATGTGTGCCCTTTGCCTGGATGTGTGTGTTGGGGGTGGCAGGTGCCCTAGTGGCCCTGTCCCCAAGCACATGCCTCATCTGCGTGGCGCATGCGTGTGCGAATGCCTGTAAGTGCAGACGGTTTCTCAGCCCCCGTGTTCCCAACCGGATTTACCTCCCACACCCGGCTCTGCTTCTCCATCCCGCTCTCCCTCTCCAGTTGTCAGATCCTTCCCAGCAGACAGGAGGGCAAGGGGACCCATGGGCTGCTTGTCCCCAAGCAGATGGTGCCCACTCTCCTCCTGGCACCCCACTCTGCCCCCATACTATCCTGTACTCATCCTGAGGCTCTCTGACTCACACTTGAGCCCTCATCCAGGGCCAGTTGGTGCCATGCACCTGGGCACAGGGCCCGGCAGGGTCAGTAGGCACAGGGCAGGGGCTGGCTCCCAAGGGCACAGGTCCCTCCATGAACAACTCGGGACTCCTGAATGGGCTGATTGGAGCACCCTTGCCCCCCTCGCTGGGGTCTCCAAACCACAAGGCCTGGACATGGCACCCCCAACCCTGGCTTCAGCCACGCACCCACCTGGGAGGAGGTAAGATGAGCCCCAGCGTGCGATACAGGATGGCCCCCACCACAAAGTGCGACGACTCCTCCATCTCTGCACAGAGAGGACACGACTGTAAGGAACCACCGTGAACGGAGCCGGTGTCCACGGCTGGGGTCCTGCCCCCTACCCCTCACCCCCAGCCCAGCTGCCGGGGGAGAGGGCAGGGACAGATGAACACACGGATAGCGGGTCCTCCTGGGAAGAGCTACGAGCCCTCACCTGCTGCTCCCCACACCCCAGGAGCCAGGGAAGGCAGAGAGGCCCCGTCCTCACCTGCTCCAATCCATCTCCATGTGAGCTCCCCAGAGGCTTGCACACACACACCTGCTTCCACATGCATGCACAAACGCCCTTGCACACACACATGTGAATAACGGGAGCATGCACGCCAATGTTCGTACCCATGAGCCAGCACCTGCCCGCCCATCCTTGAAGGTGCCCATCAAAAGCCCCACTAACCAGAGGAAGAGAGACTCAGCATGTCCTTTGGGATGAAGATCTTGTCCTCAGAGGTGCGGGCCCAGTCCTTCATGCCCCGGCGCCCCTTCATGGGGAAGTTGATGTCGCTGGACACGGCCGACACGGGCTCCCTCTGGATGCTGATCACTGCCAGGGGCAGAGCGGGGGCACAGGGAGAGGTGGGGGGCACACGGTCACTTCCCAGCACCTGGGCACACCGGCACTGAACAGTGCCCAGCCCCTCTGCCTCCTATTGCTCCAGCTGGCACAGCTGACCCTTCAAGTGTGACCCACCTGCTTCATCCTTCATCCCCAGGCCTCTCCTGTCTGCCCAGACACACCCCGGGGTGTGCAACACGCTGGCCCAGGGCACTCACCCAGGTTGTCGGTGACGATGAGGGAGCTCTGGAAGGCCTTGAGTGCACCCCCTACCAGGTGGATGAAGTCCTCCACCACCTTCATCAGGTGCACAGAGCCGGGGGAGACCTGTGGATACAGCGAGAGCAGGGCAGCTGTAGCTGGGTCTTCCTGGCCGAGGGCACGGGGTGGGATCCTGAGGATGGCCCCCGCCATCCCTGGGCATGACCAAGGGGGATCTTCCTGCTCAAGCATTGGCCCTGACCTCTTTGTCCGGGCTTGGGAAGCCTCTGACCCCACAGCCCCTCTGAGTGTGTCCAGGAAGTGCCAGGCTCTGGCACCTGCATGCAGGGCTCTGAGCAGGGGACGCCCACTCCCATGGTGCCACGGCAGGGACAGCCAGCCTGCCCGGTCCCTGCCCAGCCCACCTGGTCAGAGACCCTTACCCCCTGGCTTCCCCTCCACCCTCCCACTTCCAGCAGACCTACGGGGAGGAGGGCAAGGCTTCCACCCAACCCTCCGGACCCCTGCCCAGTGCTCCGAGCTAAGCTGTCACCTCCAGACAAGGGCCCCAGCCTCCCCCTCCTCCTGCCAGCCTGTGTGCCTCCTCCCTGCCCTGCGGGAGCCCTGGCACCCCTGGCAGGCAGCTCACCTGCTGTGCGTCCTCCCACTTGTCCCTGTTCTCCGCGTCCACCATGTAGCTGACCACCTGGAAGAAGCGCTGTGGGGAGGGCAGAGCAGGGCAGGGGTGAGGGGCGGCTGGCAGAGGAGGTAGGGGCTGGGCCAGGGGGAGTCTGACCCAGCCCCATCCCAGAGCCCCGAGACTCAACTGTGCGAACAAGTGAATGCACGGGGACGCGCACACACATGCCACCGTGCCCAACACATGGGCAGCCACACACGCACACTCACGTTGCCCCCCTATATGCATACACACACACTACCAGGCACACACGTGCACATACACACATGCATAAAGCACATATGCTGCCACGCCAGGCCCTCCTGCATGTACATACACATACTGCCACAAACATACCCAAAGCGCACACACTCCCTTGCCAGACCCTGACACAGACACACACCCACATTCCCACACAGTTGTGCTAGGCCCTCTGCACATGCACACACACAGAGACTCTGCTTTGCCAGACCCTCATACACACATATACCTACACACACAATCCCAAATATCCATGCCAGGCCCCCTGCACATGCACGCATGCACACACACACACACACACTGCCTTGCCAGACCCTCACACACACACACACACACACACTCCCACCCAGCCACACCAGGCCCCTCTGTACACACACATATACACACTGGCACACCAGACCTACCCACTCCCCCACCCAGCCAGACCAGATACACATGTATGCTGCCCTGCTACACCTACACATGGACCAGCACACACACACACAACACTCAGGGTATGTCAACCTTGTGCCCTTCAGTGCCAATACAGCAGTTGCTCTCCCAGGCTAATGCCCCTGCCACCCTGGCACAGACACATTCACTCCCCCATCCCTCTTTCCCTGGCTGCACTTTCCCCGGGGCACTGCTTCCACCCACCCTCGATGCCCCCTTCCAGGGTCTTCCTGCCCTTAGCTAGGAAAGCTGATGCTCCTTGGCCCAGCAGTGCCAGCTGCAGCACTGGGCATGCAGCACACCTGGACCCAGCAGTGAGGGCACAGCTTCAGACACCCACGGGGTAGCACCAAAGCAGACCCCACCCTCCAGCAAGGCACAAGGCAGTCAGAGCAGGAGAGCCCCACAATTGCAACCTCTCCAGAGAGGCCATCCTTGTCTTTCCAGGGTGCCAGCAGCATCCATCCGTATGTGGTACCTGCACGTCCTCAGAGGAGGGGGTGTAGGTGGCCCTCTTGAAGGTGTCGGTGACGTTGCGCAGGATCTCCACCGAGAAGAGCAGGTCCCCACTGTAGTAGGTCTTGCGAGCCATGAGCTCCAGCAGGCTGCGCACCACCTGGGACATGCCCTCGCCCGCTAGGACCCGCTGCCCCTTCGCCAGGTGCTCCCGGAGCTGTGGAGACAGGGGTGGGGAGGTTGCAAACTGCAGCTCCCCTAGAATCGAGTGTCGTGCGGAAGCAGGGTTGCAAGGGGCCGGTGGAGGTCACATCCAGTCCGATGCTCTGCCCGAGGACAGGACGGTCCCCATCCAAGTCACCCCAGAGGCTCTGAGCTCTTCTAAAACTACACGATCAACCCTGAGGCACAGCTACAAGGCACCAGACACCCAAAGCACTGAGCTTGCCCCAGGTGAAGCAGGGGGCCGAGGGCTGGCAGTGTCCTGCCACTGCAAGGGGTGTTAAAACACACATTTGAGTTGGTCTAATAAAAGATATTGGATTTACCCAAAAAACCTTGCCTGCCTATATCCTTAGACCAACACGACTACAACCTATGCCCCTGGAGAGATCCCAGGAAGATGGCCAGGCCTCCTGCTACGGAAGAAGCCAACCCTCCCCCAGTCTGTACCAATCGGACTATGGGGTCAAATCCCTTCCAAACATGGGGTTGGTGTGACCCCGAGCAGAGCAACAAGACCCTTTAGCCAGGAAACTCTGGGTTTGAGTCCCAGCAGAGGCATTGGCACAGCCCAGTCAAAATTCATTGGCAGGAGATGAAAAAACCCTGTAGCAACAGGAAGGGAAAATATTCCTTCCCGGCCCCGCAGGGCACCCAGCAAAGCCCGGATGCCTGGGAAACATCACCCACCCTCCTCTCTGCTTTGCAATCTGGGGCCGGCCAGCAGAGCTCCACACCTCACCCCCTCGAACTGGGCACCGGACGTCCCTTTCTGCCCACCCCCCCCTCCATAATCTGATCCCAGCCGCTCTAATCTTCTTTCCTAGATAAGCTGGTTGCAGTTGAGCACAGTCCTCTCCAATATCCACCTGCTCCGGGCTGCTGAGCTCCTCTCATTATCTCCTTGCGATCCATGTGGCGAGGGGGGGGTGCTCCTGTCAACTTGCCACCCCTGCCTCTCTTGCCCAGAGCCCTGCCGGCCAGACGCATGCCAATCCCATCATTAGCAGCCCGGCCCCAGACCCCCCTGCCAGCCACAGGGTGACAGCCAGGCACGGGTCCTGTAAAGAGGGCACCCAGCCAGGCAATGTAGCCATTAGCCTCTGCCCTTTGCCTAGAGAGCTAAGGATGAGGCGGGCATCTCCTGCTGCTAATGGGGTGCTAATGACAAGGGCTGATTAACATGCCAGCCAGAGCCAGGAGGGGGTGGAGGGAGGAGTGGTGGCTAGTGGGTACCTGCTCCAGAAGCGATGGGATGCAAGAACTGTCTGCCGGCTTAGGACCAGGAGCAGGCTAGCGTGGACGGGGAGCCAGAATGGTTGGGTCCTACTTCACTTTTGCCACTGACCTCCTGACCTGGGAGTGAGGTGATGCCCCACTCCCTGCCTCAGTTTCCCCATAGGGCAAACTGCAGGGGGTGGAACTGAGCCTGGAGTCCAGGCAGCTCCTTCATCCTCTGTGCTGGATGCAGGACAGATGGAGAGGACAATGCTGGTGATCCTAACCCTAGCCCTAACCCCGCTCTGGTCTGAGAGAGGGCTCCGGGTCCAGTGATATGGCTCCGGACAGAAGCAGCAGTGCTGGGGGGAGGGGGGAGTTTTATGGGTTACCAGCCCCGCTGCAAGCCACAGCCCAGGCCCCTAGCCCGCACCCTCCTGCCCTGCAAACCCAGGAGCCCCCAGCCTGGAACACAGCTCAGAAACCCAAAGGAATTGCTATTCCCCCCACCCGCCAAGGATGCCTCCCAGCAGCCACACCTCTGCTTGCAGCAAGCGTGTGGTGCACCAGCCCCCATCACATCCAGTCTGGGGGCCAGAAACCAGCCACAGGGCATAGCAGATTTCCCCTGGGGTCTTGACCAGCACCCACTCTACCCCCAACTGCCAGGGCTGCCCTGGCCATCAACCAGCCCGAGCGCACATGAGGGAGCAGGGGGGCACCAGCCCGAGTGTGCACCTACTGAGAGATGCAAGTATCGGTACTCGTGGGAGATGCACCGGGCGAAGCTGGGTATGCCCCCGGCTGGCAGACCCTGCAGGAGAGAAGGGGAAGCAGCATGGAGCAGCTGGCTTGGGCAGCTCCAGCACACGACAGCACCGTGCCCCAGCCCGCAAGCCATGAGTGCTCGGTGCCCCCACAGCAGCTGGACCCCTTAGCCACATGCCAGAGCCCCTGTCCCACCCCACCCCCAGCTGGGGCACCTATGCCCACTCACCCGTGGCGTTGGGTGGGCATTTGTTGTAGATGACCTCTCCAGCGGCCGTCTTCTTCCAGGTCATCAGCATCACGTACTCGTCCTTGCACATCTCATGGTAGGCTGCGGGGGGCGCAAACAGACAGGGGGCTGGGGAGGGGGTCCTGTCCTTGGCACCGTGCCCCAGGGTGGGCACACGGGGAGATGGCAGCTCTGCACAGGTGGGGACAGGGGCATAGCCAGGGCTTGGCAAGGGGCGGGCTTGGTGCCCTGAGAGAATGATCAGACACGCAGATGGACGCAGGGGTTAGAGTCTGGGTTCAAGAGACCCTTGGGCAGGGCAGGGACCTCAGTCCTCCCTGCCCAGCCCTGGCAGGGCTGGCCCCGCTGGCCCCTACCTGGGCACTTCTTCTCGTTGCACGTCTTGACCTCCTCCCCGGAGCCCTCACACGGGTAGCCCTGCACGCCTGTGCCCTGGCACATCCGAAAGCGCCGCTGCCATCCTGTGTCACACGTCTTGGAGCACAAGCTCCAGTGGTTCCACGGTCCCCACTTGCTGTCACCTGCCAGGGAGCAAGAGACGGGGGTCAGAGCTCGGCTGCAGCCAGAGGGGGTGGGGGTGCACTGGAGAGACAGGCAAGGCACAGACTGGGAGCAGATTTGGGCTGTGCTGCCCAGAGACAACGTGAATCGAATACTCCACAGGTTATTAAACCCATTAATCAGCCCCCACATGCAGCCCCCACGCCCCCACCATGATCCAAGACTGTCCTTAGTAAATCACAGCCCCACCCAAGCACACAAACAGACCTCGCCTGGCACCCAGGGACCTGGATTCCTGCCTCTGGGGCCCAATTTGGGCAGTATGTGGACAGAGCCAGGGCCTGCCCTGTCCAGGGACACCCATGTGTGCCAGCCACTTCAGGGCTCCTCTGTCCCAATGCCTCTCCCCCTCATCTCCCAGCCCTGTATACCCTCTCTCCATTCATCTGCTCAGTCCATTCACCGCCCCCCCACACTTGCTGTCAGTGCCCCCAGCCTTCACACCGTTGCCTCCCAACATTGCACATGGAGGGGAAACTGAGGCACAGGAAGGGTAGTGATTTGCACCAGGACACATGGCGGCTCCAGAGCAGAGCCAAGGGCAGGACCCAGGTGTCTGGACTCCTCCCTGCAGGCATGGCCAGCTCTGCTCAGACGGCTGGTGTGCTCAGAGCTCTCTCCTTATCGTGGCTTCTCTGAGTTGCCCACATGGCAGGGCAGCATGCGGGGGCACGTGTGCCTCCTGCCCAGATCAGAAGCTCAGGATCTCAGGGGAGGGGAAGGGAGGGAGGGGCCTTGACACCCCCCTGGGATGATCCAGCCATCATCACACCACCCGGCCCCTGACATTTCCTGCCCGCGTGATGGCAGCCAAGTGACATTTAAAGGTCATCGGCCATGTGACTCCACTGCCATCACTTGGCATTTGGCTGCCCCATGATGGTGGGGGGTGCAGAGCCCGGCTGCCAGGGGGGCAGAGCTGGCCCGAGGCAGGGCAGGGAGAGGGGGCTCTATGTGGAGCTATGCTGTGCCTGCTCTGGTCTCAGCTCTGTGGGTACGTAGGGGAAGCCTGGGCCTGGCTGCCACTGCACCCCTGCACGTGCTTCCCCTTCAGCATGTGCAAACCTGTCCCCGTGCCCGCACACACCAGCTGCTCTGCATGGCTGGCAGTGCTCACACATATACACTTATCCATGCTGGGACGTGAGTGCCTGGCTGAGCGCATGCTGTCCCCCCAGTGCTACTGCAAGTATTCACACACGTGTGCAAATGTGTGCTTGCCTTGAGACTTGCACGTTTCCCCTCCCACCCCCTTGCCACCAAGTGCTCACACAAGTGTGAACTCCTGTGCTTGCAGGCTGAGTCCTTGTGCATTGCCCTGCTCACAACCCCATCCCAGAGACTGCTCAGGCACATGGCTAGCCATATTGACATGCCAACTCCACGTGTGTATACCTGCTCACTCCCCACGCCAAGTGCTCGCACATGTGTGAACAGAGTCCTGGGCTGCAGAGCTGCTCATTTCCCCATCCCACCATGAGCGCTCACACGCAAAGCCCCATCACTGGCGTGCAAGCTGCTCCATGCCCTGTGGTGCCGCATCTGGCTGGAAGCAGGGAGCGAGGCAGGGTGGGGGCTGCCATGCCATTGGCAACACAAGGCCATTGCAGCAGTCAGAGCAAGAGTGAGTGTTTAGCAACAGCTTCCTGCAAGCCTCACGGCCCCGTGCTGTTGGGGAAAGGGCACATGTCCGTGATGATGTGAAAGCCCTGGAGATGGGGTCTGACCTTGGATCTTTGCTTCCTATGAGCTTACCTGGGACACGAGTGGGCTGAGGGCATGACAGCAGCCTCCCAAAACAGAGGGGCCCTGGAGCACTGGCCGCAGTCTCCAGGATGCCGTACGTGCGAGGAGGCTGGGGCACCCCGGACAGCTCATCAGGGCATGCAGGTCCCACTACAGCAGAGAGCAGGAGGGCCGTGTGCCCCCAGCCTGCCAACTCCTCTCTGGCTGTCTGATCCGGGCTGCGAGCTCCAGGCCGTGTTGGGGAAGGCAGCCGGGACCCATCTGTCCCTGTCACCTGCTGCCTGGCAGCCCCTGCATTCAGAGCCGGGTTTTACAGAGCACAGCTGTCACCCAGACAGATCGGGAGCCCCGGGCCTGATTGAACAGGGCTTGTGCCGTGTCTCTTCATGCAGCAGAGACACCAGATGCCATCACTACAGCCATGGGGCAGGCCAACGCACACAGTGGCTTGTCTGCCCAGCCAGGCTGCCTCGCCACCCAGCAGCCAAAGCCAGAGGACAGGATCGGCCCTCTCACCGGGAGCAGGGGTCCACAGATGGGCAGGGGCAGCCCTGAAGGGACCTCAGACTGGCTGGGCAAACTGCCCTCAACAAGACCCCCTGCTCGCACCACACTATACACGTGGGGTCCCCACCACGGCCCCCAGCTCACCCACAGGGAGCATGTGGGTGCCCCAACATGGCCACAGCAAGCACACACAGACACGGTGACACGACCCTGATGCTCACACCCACAGTGAGCGCACACAGACCTGACGCAGCCTCGGCGAGCACATGGAGACCTCAACGTAGTTAGTGAGCACGTGGGGATCGGCCACCATGCGTGCACAGGGTCATAGCTGCAGGGAGTGCATGGGGACACTTTGATGCCGCCTGGCTGCTCACACCCACAGCAAGCGCACGGGCACCCGAAAGGGCCACAGCAAGCGCACGGGGACCTGGACATCACCACGGCCATTGCACAGGGACACTCTAGGGTGCCCTCAGTGAGCACATGGGCAGCCGGTCACGGCCCTCGCTCACACCAGTGTGACACCCCAGCACACCGTCCCACAAACCAGCCCCTTCATTCCCCCCCAGCATCCTCACACCAGCCTGGCCCCTGAGCATTGTGCCCCACTGCTCCCAGCTCTCTGCCTCCCTGCCCCATC